GAGGAGACAGACAGGCTTCAGTCAGACAGACAGAACAGACATACAGACAGATGGAGAGAGCGTGGACAAAAATTAAGTACCTCTTGAACAATGACAAATTTGCATTAATAGAGAGTACAACAAGCATTCAGTCTTTAGAGTTTTCTCTAATAATTTCTTTTTTCACTGTAGCTACCATAATAAGTCAAATACATGTTGGGTCTTTAAACCTCCTGTGATAATTTCCAAGTCCTACAGCTTTTTAAAGGGTGTTCTATTCAATTCTGTTTAGTCGTTGTTTTTTGCTAGCCCAAGTTAAGTTACTATACTACTATTTTAACACAAAGACTGTCATTTCAAAGTAACCATGTAGAGTTAAATAAATTTCTTTTGGTGTAAAAACCTGCGCATTTTGTTATCTTTTTTTCAGTGATGGGTGGTTTCAGAGACAGAAAATTGAGCGTGTTATGGCAAGCCAAATCCACACTACTGGTATTTGACAATTCTATATGGATCCACGCATTAGGCCAAGTTACTGGAAATCTCGCTTTGAGCCATATCCTGGGTCGAATTTTGTTTCTGATGAGCCCATATGTCTTAATTCCTTGATTTGTGAGGAATTTGAGCTGGCTATATATCCAGTTGGACCTGTCAAAGTAAGCAAACTGATATAAATTGGTGATGATTGAATAACCCTTCCCCCCCTTCTCCCTTTCTTTCTGGGTACCAAAACCTCCCACTATTCCAGGGGTCAAGCCATATTGAAAGTGCTTCTAGTCAGCATAACTGAGACCATTCACTCAGCACAGAACAGACCTGAACAGGCTTTAAAAAAGTCACAGTATATGGTACAGGCCTATGTGAAAAGGAAATGTATAATAAAACTTATTGGTCAACTTAAACTGGAAACACCTTATTGTAATCATAGAGAATCAGTGGGAGGTAATTATTAAGAGTTCAACTGTTAATTTTTTTTGGTAGTTTTTTTGGTAAGTGTATTAGGGTGCTCGCAACTGCATATGGTCATATGAGTGCGCAGGACACATTAACCTTTTCAGTGGGTAGGAAATTTTGAATTTGGCCCAGGTGGCGGCCGAAGCCTACTCTTATCGATTTTAGACCACCAAAGGATCTTTGACGTGCGCAACTTGCACATTCCGAGATTTTTAGCCCTCGTCCGAGAAGGCTATGTGTAGATCTTTCCTATCAGAAGATCAGGGGTGTGGCTAAAAGACAGCAGTAAGAAAGAGCCAAGGAGTAACAATAGAAAGGCTGCAGAAAGAGTCAGGAGCTCAGAGGAGGGGGTAAAGGAGGTGAGGGGGTGGGGGCAGAAAGGGGAGACGGAAGCAGACAACAGAACATTGCTAGAGAGCAAGAAAGGAGGTGAAAGGAGACAACGTTTTAGAGAAGAATATTTTACCGTCGCTGGCTACCCAGAATCGAACCTGGGACCTTAAAATGAGAGGTTAACACCTTAACCTCTAGGCCACGAGAGCCCCCTAACTGTTGGTTTAAAAAACACAAGGAATACAGCTTTTTAATACAATGTGTATCATGTAAAGGTACAATCATGGTTTAAAATTTCTTTGATTTTTTTCTCTAGATCTATTATGAAAATTTGCCATTATGTCAAATAATTCAATTTTTTTTTTTATAGTACAGGGTTTTGATGATGACGATGATGACAATGACAATGACAATCTTTATTCATCTCGCAGGGAGAAATTTGTCTTGGTCGTTAACAATGGCAGTAGACGTTACA